AAGAACAAACCGATGAGGGTTTATGGGTTACCCCTTAATGAGTTCGAAGAACATGCCCGGATGAGTGAGCCGAGGGACTGTGTGACCCTTGTATGTGATGGTGGCTTACATAGACAGGAGTCAAAACCTCATCCATGTACCATCACACGGCATGCATATCGATAGAACATTCGGGAAAGCTAGAAATCTACCTTTTAGGGTGAAGCGTATGCATGTGCGAGAGATACCCCTATGTGACATAGAGCTATGGTCACATAAGGTCTTGCTGACATTGACTTGTCTCTAAGGGATGACCTGTAATTCACATATTGGGATTGCGACCCCTGGGCTCATCCGTCAGACTTTGATGACCCGCTAATGAGCCCATGTTTGGACTGTGGGTCATGAGAAACACGGGATCGGCTTGATAAGGCAAGTGTGGTCTGTAGTCCACAGTTGAAGGTGGAGTACCCCATGATTGCAGATTAAATTCTTTAACCATATGGATCCATTTCCCATCAAGTTAATTTAATTATGTTTGTTTTATGGTGATTGCTTATTGTGAGGATGCTTTTCCTTTAAACAAGTGTGTGTGCGTGTATGAGAGAGAGATCATTGGATATTAAGTCAGTTCACATTTAAAGATTGTTAAAAAGGATGCTAAATAACTGATGGGAAAGTAAAGCACGATGCTTTGTATGCCCATGATCGCAATGTGGTATTTAGGGTTATAATTGTCTAACCATAGATGGGATGGTTATGGTGGCATAGTGATGACTCAAACTTAAGTTTTTGTTTTTGGGTTCGGGAGGGCCCTTACCCTTGGTTTCATCAAACGCTAATCAATTAAGCTAGAGCTCTTTTCCTAACTCGTACTTATGTTTGATGTCTCCCACTCTCGGTTTGCGACTTCCCAACCCATTGATTAGATGGTTATAACCCTTATGACCTTTCTATTATTGTCACCATGTGGACTATACTAATAGTTCCCCAAGACTTTTTCGAGGACTTTGAAAACGATTCATGTTTTGGGCATGAATTACCTCTTTAGAAAAGACCAGTTTTTAAAAATGGATCAGTGATCCAGATCAGCCCCTTAACCCCCACCCAAATCGCATCGGATTGGTGGATCGGCGATTTGGGTCGAAAAACTCAATCATTGGATTGGCTGGATCTAGCCTTACGAAATATTGTAACACTATTAAATTTTTTTAGAAATCTAGCTTTTTATGTCCTTGAAAGAAAAAAAATGTATTGCATTATGATTTTTCATTATTTTAACGAGAATACGTAAATACCATGGAGAGAGAGAGAGAGAGAGAGAGAGAGAGAGAGAGAGAGAGAGAGAGAGAGAGAGAGAGAGAGAGAGAGAGTAGTAGTAGTAGTAGTAGTAGTAGTAGTAGTATAGTATAGTATATAGTATAAGTATAGTAGTATAGTATAGTATAGTACTACGTATACGTA